GATCCAATTTTTTTATTTACTTAAAATTTCCTTACATCTCCCTTCAATTTTCCTTCATTTCTTAATATATATACTTTTTTCTCTAACTTCGATATTTCCTCGCAATTATATTTAATATCGTTATGAATCATTGTCCCAATTGAGTGTAAATACATTTCTGTCCGGGTTATTGCGAGAAGTGTTCCATTCTTTAATTAGACACCGTGAAATTAGACACCGTGTCTGCGATCTCAACCTAAGATATGTAAGTCACGCCTTTGTGATCATTTTACACCGTTCCAACTTACCTTCTCTCCACGCTCACCACGTTAAAAGTCTCCGCTCCTCAATTTTCTATATGTATCGGTTAAAAGTAGACGTATCCCATTACATTCTATTATAATGCAGAATAATTCATTAATGAAAAAAACTTTCCAAGTATCAAAACTCTTTTGTATATCTAATAATAAGATCAATCTGTAGACATATACTTTCTAAAGTATAGACATATATTTATGAATTATTTTGTACATACGACGTAAGACTGCGATTACATGATTGAAAATCAATCTAATTTCTACTTTTTACAATTCTCAAAAAAAGTTTTTACATTCTCAAATGTATCTGTTCATTCTTTTCGTAGCAAATGTAAATATCTCAAAAATAAATCTAATCGAAACTTAAAAATAGGTCGGGTTATAATTTATGAACTATTCTTTGTTCATAATATACAGGGAGAAAAAAGTACGAAGAGGAAGAGAAAGGGAAATAAAAGATAATCACACTTTTTTTTTTACACCGGTACATTATATTTCTTGGTCCTCTAAACATTCATAATATACACAACATACAATACGACATAGCGGTTTTCAGCTTGTTTAGTTTCTCGTTCGAGCGCGGTACCGACAGAACGATATTAACGATGCGCTTAGTTTCTTATCTTTTTTATTTTTGTTTTTATTTTCCTCCTCTCCTTCGCTCACGAACGTTGCTTTTCTCCCCGCCTTCACGTTCGAAATGTTTAAGTGGTAGTTACATCTATCGCGCGTCCTCGATCTCGGGCAGGAGATAGATCAACATTCATTGGGAATTAATAGCGGAGGTATACATCATGATGAGAAAAATATTTCTATATCGGAGTATAATAATGCGTCTACATAAGATACCATCGTAGATTCTCTTCTTTTTTTTTTTTTTTTTTTTTTTTTTTTTTTTT